GGCGAAGCTGCGAAGGAGCGGTGGGGAGGAAAACAATGGCGGATTGTAGAAAAAGAAGATGAGAGAGAGGGAGAGAGAAGAATACGAATAGAGGGGAGGGGAGAGAGAGAAAGCGTGTGATAATTATAGATCCCACTAAATCTGCTTTTACAATATTTACAAACAATTATCGGCTCAATAATCTAGTATGTTTGTAAATAAATATGATACTTTTAGTTAATTTGCAAATAAATATATATGAGTTGTAAATATGTAATAAAAATGTTAATGTGTTGTGAAAGATGTAAATACTTAACTAGTCAAGTAATTAAAAAAAAAAAATCCACTAAAGCAAGAGAATATATTGAATTCCAAAAATGCTACAAAAAGAATTATGCATGAAACAACAAATTCAAAATTTAAAATAATATTTGCTCTCTTTCTTCCTATTTTCCTCTCTTTCTTCTTTCTCTCTCTTACTTCTCTTTTCACGTTTTTTTCTCTCTTCTTCTCTTTTCTTCTTCTACTTTTTGACAGAGCTATTCTAACTCAATGAGAGTGGGGAGACCAGATGATATGAAATATGGCAGACATGAACTGACAACAAGTGATACGCCATTAAAGTATTCAATTATATGAAAATATCAGGTCGAAATTAGAAATATGTATATTTGAGCAGTGGCCCTGGCGGCATAGTCGGATTGAGACTTGAGGCCGAAGCCCATTGATTGGTATCGTCAGAAGGTAAGACCTTCATAAGGTAGGAAGTGATGGCAGCCCCGCCATTGTTGACGACTAGGGAGCTGAGGGAGGGGATGATCTCGTTGTCCCCTGTTTCGGCACAAGTCTTCTTTGAGCTCGTATCGACAGTTTGATTACTCGACCATTCAGTTTCGACATTCTCGTCGGCCTGCTGGAGAGGGGGAACAGTGTGCCCTTTTGATTTTGTTGGGGTAGGGTCCTATCGACCTGCTCCACCCCAGTTCTTGGAGAAATCTCTTTAGAAGGACCTTGGTCAATATACTCCCAATCGACAGGTAACCGAGAGCGGTCGAAGAAGTGCTAGAGCCATTCATTATTGACTTAAGATAAGTCGCTCGGCTTGTGAGTTGAAGCAATTCTGACATGGGGGTTAGGCCAAGGAAGAGACTCAACCTCGATCTCCTCATCGATTTTGTCTACCAACTGGAGAGGTCGACGCCTGGACGGGCTAGCATGGGAGGTCGACGGAGCGGTTTAAAGAGAAGTGGAGGTAATGGCAAAGGAAAGGGGGTTCAGTCGAAGAATGAGGTCATGAAAAGAAGATTTATCAGAGGAGCTCAACGAGCTCATATATATCCCGTTCGATTAAGACGGCGTCGGAGTCGTCACTAGTGCGTGAATCTAAAAAAAAAAGAGGGGAAAAAAAATATAAGAACAATGTTTAGGTCATTGAAGAAGATAGACCGAGGAGGAGAAATTTCAGAGAGTTGAAAGTGAGAGAATTTAGCAAGGGTGGAAAATAAAAAAGCAAAAAAAAAATTGGCAAGTGGGGTATTTATAGATGAGAATAGAAGAATCTTGAAGATATATCAACCTTGGCCATCGGATCATGGTCGAAATGAAAGGGTAAGATTAAAGGAGGCCGCAAAAAATACTTAACCTTGACCGTCGGATCTTGATCGAAATGGACAGATAGGATCAAAATGGTGAGTTGAAGAGACAATGCACTTTCGACCGTTAGATAAAAGGTAATCGAATGGTTGTCATTAATGTAACATTTAATGGATACACTGAATGAGGACAACACAGACTGCGAGGCGGTTATGTCGATAGAACGTTTGGACTGATGAATCTAACAAGTGGTAGAGATTTGAATTTCAAAATTTGAATTCAAGATCTTAGGTGGAGGTTGATAATATCACTCTAGGATATTAGGAAAACTGGGCAGCGTGGTCGATTTGATCGAGGTAGGAGCACAACAAGCAAGACAAAAAACAATCGAATCTAATCTTGGACTGAGCTATTCTAACTCGACCAGCGTGGCGGGACCAAATGATATGAGATATCATACCGGGTCAAGTACACCCGAGAAACCAGCCAACCAGGTCAGACGAACCGGTTGGTCGAATGGAGCTACAGGTCGAACAGAGAGTCCTCAGGCAGACGAGAATGCGACAAAAAGAGGTGTCTCCAACATGTCGAGTTAGGACACTTGGATGGCCTGATAGAAACTCGACCTGTAGGTATATTGGTCGAAGGATCGACCTTGGAGACTACACGTAGCAGGAAGACGATCTACCTCATGCTGACAACGGTTTGGTCTAACGATTAGATCGTCTAATAAGGAAGACTAATGAATAAGAACTAATATAATTAGGATAAGAACCACATGTGGATAGGGTCACATAGCTTAACAGAATTGACTAATTTGGACAGTACAAACGGGCAACTCGTGCAGTCTGAACAACCTATATAAAGAGGTGAGGTATGTCTATTTACACTACAATCTATACGCACTCTACTATACATACAGAGATTTATATCTACCGTTCATCGTCTTAATTACTGTGGACTGACTTGATCGTCGGAGTGCCAATGCCAAGAATTTTTCCCGACCCATTTTGCAGGTTACGAACATGTCAGAAAGCAAATTAGGTCGTACAAACCAGAGTGGAGTCTTTTGCATACCAAATACAAAAGTAAGAAAATCACGAGATTAATAACCACAAATAATGAACTAACAAATAAATTAAAAATCTATAATTTACATAATATAAACTGATAATTAAGAACAATAAACTATACATATTCTTAATAAACTAAACTATAGTTGTTGGGTTCACTTGTACCGTACGGGTTATTTGCAGCGGAAAAATTATTTCGAAAACAAATATTTATCCTATAAATACTCAACCAGTAGATACATATAGCGAATAAACAGATCGTCATCATTTAAAAACACGTAATAATACGAATTTTGATTTGTAATAAGTAATTTCGAAAATTACCTTTTATCTTGAACTCCTTCTTTATATGACGATGATTGAGGAAATCAATTTCCGGTTATATATGACTTTCAACGTCTCTTGTTACTCACCCGAGGGATCTAAGTGTCTCCCCTCTAAAAGTATCCACCCTTTTGTAATTCAATCTCGAGAACTAGTTTCTTCGCTAGTAGAAACTTCTCGATTTGTTCAATTAGTATCGAAATATTTATTTTATAGGAGATTATAATTTTAATCTTTATTAAAATTTTCAAGAACTATTCTTGATGTGGAAATAATTCTCAAAGTTCAAGAACACTATTGATTTACAACTCTTGTGATTTTTCTGTCTTAATTTTCTTGTTAATACAAGTGTGCTCGTGTACATCACATATGTACACCTATTTATACTAAAACATTTAGATCACAAGATGTCATCTTGTATTTTAAAATCATTATTTTAATCAAATTAGATGGCATCTTGATCTAAATGATTTTAATAATAAAAAATATCATTAGATCCCATCTAATAATATTTTATTATTATTTTAATCTTTAATCAAATAAAAGATTAAATATTATGATTTATAATTTCTGAAAAAAAAAATTAATTTATCAAAATATATTATTTCTGATATTTATAAGATCTCCTCTTATTATAATTATATTATAATATGGATTTGAATTTTTAAAATCTAATTTTAAAATCCAACTATTAATTTAGTAATTTCATTAATTACTTAATTAATATCCAAAATATAATTAATCAATCAAATTGATTAATTTAGTATATTCCTTTAATTGATATATAATGAAATTAGAATTAATTAAATAATCAAATTATTTAATTAATACTTGTCAATTAATTCTAACTCTTTAGAAATACTAATTTCAAATGATCTACATTCCAAATTGGGTGTGACCTTTTAGGTTCACTATTAATACTAGTAGTGGGTTTACAATCCCTTGTAATTTGAATTAATCAAATTAATTCTTATTCTTTGAATTAACTCCTTAATTCAAAAACCCACATATCATGGGAACATCTAGCAAGTAGCATGAATCTAGTGTTAAGTGAATAGCGAGTAAACCTTTTCGATTACAATTCCATACACGTAAAATCCTTTCGACATCCAATTTCTCGATTAAATCTTGGGTATGATTTAGTCGAAACCCAAATTGATTTAATAACTATGATTCCATTTCAAGTTTAGTAATTCATATATGAATCTCTATTCATCCCGCCTTGGCCAAGGACTTTGAATTACAAACTATGAAACACATAGGAAATTCATTTATCTCATAAATGTCGAATCCTTTGTTGGCCACTGACAAACTTCCATTCATATTAATATAATACCCAAAATATCCCTTTATACGACTGTGCTAGCAATCAAAAGGATAAATCAAAGTAAAATATAATATGCACAAAGTTACTATCGTGCCTCAAGTCTAAGGATCAATCATGTACTATTGTAACATGAAAATTCTTATTCGACATAATACACTTCCATTCAGAATTTTCATACGGTCATGTTCAGTGAACTTGTTCTCTAACAAGCACCCACATATATGTATTTGCGACCCACGCTAATGTTGATGGAATGCAACATTCTTGTCAAACAAGTATACATCATATGTACAAGTTTTTCCTGATTATTCGATATTCCATCTCAAAATATCGAACGACTTGGAACTGTATTTAAGATCACAGTTTTAAAGATATGTTCCATGATTACCATCAAAAGCGCAACCATGCCTTATAGCCATTAATGATCTAAGGACTTTATCATATGTGCAAATTTAGGGTAAATGCAAAGACATAAGATAAAACAATGCCTTAATTTTAATAAATTGTTTTTACAAGTAAAAATAAATCTAATCTGATTGGAACGCCGGGTATTCTACTCCAAGAATAGTTACATTGTATAATCTGATAATTAAGAGCATATATAGAAGATTGATGATAATACTAAACATATAAACAATACTCTCTCCTATTTTTAATATTTGTCATTCTAGTTTAATTGATCATTTGTTAAATAAATATCGTTTTGGCTATTTTGTTCATATTTTTCCCTTTTAACCCCTCCATCAATACCTATTGTCCCTTCATATTCCCAAGAACATCCATCTACAATTGTGTTATTAAATATGGTTAAACTTAGAAAGAAAAATATTTCTTAAATAGTGTGTTGATAACTAGGATGACAAATATTTAAAATAGGAGGGAGTACTTTTTAATCATGTTAGTATGTTACACATCATCACTCGTACATAGTAGAGGACCTAGAGGTCAAACACGCAAGTTAAACAATAATGATCATATTAATAAATACTTGTGAACACGACTCTGCCAAACACCGCATGCAAAGCAGCAACTTTTACACCACTTTATTTTCTTGAAGACGGCAAACCAAAATAACTACAGCTGAGCTTCAGTTCCGCACCTCACTCGGGTTTCATGGTTTTCCCAACGTCGATCACAAATCGGTACTTAACATCAGCCTTCAAAAGACGCTCGATTGCCTTGTTGACATAATCTGCCGAGATGAGCTCAACATCCGCTGCTATGCCGTGCTTAGCAGCAAAATCGAGCATCTCTTGCGTCTCCTTCAGTCCTCCATTCGCACTCCCCATCACGGATTTCCTCCCTATACATACATTAATTTTCACTAAGATATTCGTGTTCAAATTTTTTTTAGACAGATAAAAAGAAGAATTAATTAAATGGCAAGCTAACCTGCAATGATAGGAAAAGCTGGGAGCTCGAGGGGTTTTTCGGGAGCACCAACCAAGACTACCTTCCCGTGAGGCTTCACCAGATTTAGAAACGGCACAAGCGAGTGATTTGCGGATATTGTATCAATTATACCATCCAATGTTCCGGCCACAGCCTACCAAACAAGAACAATAACAGACCCTTGAACATATGATCACAAAAAGTTGCAAATTTAGTCCAATTTCACACTTTGTGTATAGACAACATGAATAGTGAATACACACAAAACCAAGGTTGCAATTAAGTATAGGAATTTTAAACATTTTTTTTATGGAAAATTTGACAATAAACATTTTTTAGATTGGAAATGAATATAAGACAAAATTGTAATAATTTGAGCGCATGTGATATAAAACTAGTAAAATAGTAATTAATAATTATTAGTAATTAACAGTAAGTGAGTCAATGAATACTAAATTTTAGACGGTAATATGTAGGAATGACTGGGTTTATTTTAAATTTCGTTGACGAGATTTGGGAGAAAAGAGAGATAGAATGAATTAGTATTCAATCACAACTTCAATGAACTAAATTTTGCTCAAACAAATAAAAATAACAATATTCTATATCCAATTGTTCCTTAAGAAGAAGAAGAATTTAGCATAAACCCAAAACATTAAAAAAATTCATACCGACATCTGCTCTGGGTCAGAGCTAACCACAAACTCATCAACACCAAGATTCTCAAGGGCCTCCTTCTTCTTACTCTCGGATGTGCTTATAACCGTGACCTTGGCCCCAAAGGCCTTAGCGAATTTCACAGCCACATGACCAAGCCCACCGAGCCCAGCAACCCCGATAGCCATCCCAGGCTTGTCGAGCCCGAAGTACTTAAGCGGGCTGTAGGTCGTGATGCCCGCGCAAAGAAGTGGGGCCCCCTTGTCGAGAGGCAGGTTTTCAGGCCAGCGGAGGATAAAATGCTCATCGGCAACCATTATGTTCGAGTAGCCTCCGTGAGTGATGGATCCATCAATGTCAGGCACGCCGTAAGTGAGGACTTGCTTCGAGCAGTAATTTTCAAGGTTGACTTTGCACTGGTCACATTTACGGCAGGATCTGACCAGGCAGCCAACACCCACTTTGTCCCCGACTTTGACTCTTTGTACATTGCTGCCAACTTCGGTCACCTCCCCAACAATTTCATGCCTGTAATGAAAAAATAAACACGAATTTTGGTTACCCGCCCCAAAGAAATAAAAGTATAAACGGAACACATATAATTAGATATGCATAGTAGCACGGATTTCGCATAAAAAGAGCATTGTAACCAAATATTCAAAGATAAGTACACCTTAACAGACTTGCTAAGACAGAACCAGCTCACGATATCATTAAAATAAACGACCACTAGTTCCGATAGAACTCGCAATTGTCTCAAGTAGATCTAATCCCATCATAAAGACAACAATCATCAACAGATACTAACTGTAAAAATTAGCGTATGAGGAGTGACGAATGCAACTAAAGGGTTCATCTCACAGTATCTAGTAGACTCTTAAGAAAAATTAGAGTTCAAAGTATACTAAATATTGATGTGAACATAATATGAGTTGCATTAATGTCTTTATAACACATGTTTTCCTCATCAAATATACACATATGAGACAGAGAGAGTGATTGATACCCGGGCACCAGGGGATACTGACTGAAACCCCACTCATTCTTGAGCATGTGAATGTCCGAATGGCAAATTCCACAATACAATACTTTGAACTGCACATCATTCTCGCCGGTGGTCCTGCACCACCACACCCAAACATAAAACCAAATTAAGCATAAAGATTTATGGATTAAGTCAGAAACAATCCAATATTTGCAGATCTAAGGGGAATAATTTGAAGGGAGACAATCAAGTTAAAAAAAAAAATTGCATTCCCACAACAATCTCAGGAGGAATAATTAAATTGCACAACGAGAACAAGGTTCCAGCGAAAGAAGAAAGACATGGTTAGTTAGATGTGTAACCTCCTGGAGAACTTGAAAGGGGAAAGAACCCCAGAAGTGTCTCTCGCGGCCCATCCGAATGCCTTCACCGGGTGCTCCGTCTCTGGATCTTTCGACATTCTCCAACTATGATTTTGTACTCTGAAGGTTTTCTGAGAAAATTTTGAGTTGATCCTAGGAACAACCTGGGTGTTTATAACACCTAAAGTCTGCCTAATCAGTGAGGCCATGGATACGATGTGTATTGAGAAATTTTCTCAGTCTGCTCGTTTTCTCCGACTATGAGGTTTTCTATGAAATGTTTGCTGTGGACGGCGGGAGGCTGCGCGAGAGTGCGACGGATAATAGGACTGAAATTATTGATAAGTCGAAAGGAACAGAACCACTACTGCCCGAGCACACTTGTGTGTCTTGGCAATTATGCACGCGCCTAATCACTCCCAAAAACTAAAAAAATAAGAGAGTATAGTACACATGCCATTTTTTTTTTAATTGAAAATGAAATATATTATATAAATTAAAATATCATTAATGATTTATATTAAAATAAAAAAATAAATATATCAAAATTCATAAATTTCCATTGTCTATAAATAGAGACCACACTTGATAGGTTTTTTTTAACATAATTAATTTCTTTTTTCGTAATCAATTTATTATACTGACATAGGATGAAAATTTTACATAATAAGATGAATATGTTATCAAATAAAATGAACATGTTACGGACATGTTCATCTTATGTTATAACATGTTCATCTCATTTTGTAACATATTCATCTTATTGTGTAAATATATAACATGTTCATCTTACTATGTAACATGTTCATCTTATTCTATAACATGTTCATCTTACTAAGTAACATGTTCATCTCATTTTGCAACATATTCATCTTATTTTATAACATGTTCATCTTATTGTGTAAATATGTATCATGTTCATCTTATTCTATAACATGTTCATCTTATTATGTAGCATGTTCATCTTACTATGTAACATGTTCATCTTATTATGTAACATGTTCATCTTACTAAGTAACATGTTCAACTTATTATGGATCTGCGTCTTCATCTTCCAACAAAATAAAATAATTGTGAAAAATGATAAATTAATTGTATTCTAAAACTTATCAAATGTGGTCTCTATTTGTAGAGAATAAAAAATTATGAATTTTGGTATTTTTATTTTTATTTTTTAATATAAAATACGAATGATAATTTAATTTATATAATATGATATATAAAATTCATTATCCAATAGAAATGGGACACATGTCCCATTTAAAAGAAAAAACCTTATCTCACGCGCTTTTTTGAGGGAGTGTATTTTACAAAGGCCTTGGCACACCTAGCAGGTCGCACCTAAGTATTTGCGCGAAAGGAAAGACGTGTGTACTATTATATACAAATCTGTATGAACATCAATCATA